TGAAGGAATGAAAAATCTTGGCTTAGGAAACATTTGTTGTTGTGTGCCTTTAAGTCATTTCTGGCTTAAGACAACTCTTATGAACTCTCATGGTCAAGCTAGGATTTGATTTTTATTCTCCAGAGACATAGGCCAATGGTCAAACCACTATGTTGGCTCCACTACAAAAGATACATGGAAATAATACTTGGCCATAGGGGTCTACACCTTAGTTACATCCAGAATGGACTACTGTGATGCACTCTACGTGTGGCTGCCTTTGAAGACGGGTTGGAAATTGCAGCTAGTGCAATGGTTGACTGTCAGATTACTACGTAGAGCTAGCTACAGGGAACATATCACGCCCCTGCTGAAGCAGCTCCACTGGCTTCCGACAAGTTTCCAGACTCAACTGAAGGTGCAGGTTATTACCTATAAAGCCCTATATACTTTGGGTCCAACCTATCTTCAAGATTGCATCTCTTTCTACGAAACGGCGTGGGCTCTGAGATCGACAGGGGAGGCTCTCCTCTCAGTCCCTCCACTATCTCAAGCGTGGTTGGTGAGGATGAAAGAGAGGGCTTTTTCTGTGGTGGCCCCCCAGCTCTGGAATACCCTCCCAAAAAGATTAAATTAGCCCCCACCTTTCAATCCTTCCATTCCAATCTGAAAACATGGATGTTCAGACAGGCCTTTGACCTTGAGTAGGATGAATGGTCCCATATGAAGCTGACACTTGGCACCTGTGAATTTACGGCAATTAGTTTTATCTGGTTTTGTTTTAAAATTGTATTGTTTTGATTTTATGCAAACATGTGTTGACGGGGGGGGGGGTTGTTATAATTTTATTTGACTTATTTTATACTTTTGTTCAATTTTTACCAGTTTTATGTTATATGTGCACCCTGGAGTGCTTTGTAAGCCGCCCCTTTGGGGATTGTGGGGGGATATAAATAAAGTTTTATTATATTACTTTATTTTATTTATTATAATAGAAGTTGTCTGTCTACAAAGCCATGGTGAAAACAAGTGTAATGATTGAGATATCATTTGGCCAATATTTGGTTTAACACTGACAAATGCCCAATGACAGTAATCCCTCTGAGTACACAAAAGAATGGAGGTTTTATTTTTAGGTGGCTTCAGAAGACCAATTAAAAAACAATGTGCAATAGGAAGGAAAGGCCTCATCAGCAGTTGCTCCCAGACTGTAGGGTTCCTTTCCAAGAGATCCTAGGCTGACCCCATCCCTGTTCTCCTTCCACCAGCACAAAAAAGTCTTTTTATTCAGAAAATCTTTAACTGACATGATTTTCAAATGCTTTTAATTCTATTCAGCTTTCATATTGTAATTTGTTTAATTTTGTTTTAAAATTAATTTTGTTTTAAAACACTTTTGAGAAGTGTTTTTATCTGTACTTTTTTTAAAAGTCCAGTTGCTTTGAAATCCATTTTGGGGAGAAAGTATAAGATATAAGTCAAAATAAGTAAGAGACCTCTCTAGTGAATTATCCCTGTAGTATGTTATATTATTTTTATATCAAGAGACATTGAAATGAACTATGCAGGAAATTTTCTTTGGTAGATTGTGCCCTACATAAAGCAGAAGAAAGGTGATTGTAGCAGAAATCTTCATACTGATGGGAAAGGAATGCTAAGCTCTCAGATCTCCTTTGTGTGGATCATTTTTCAGATTTTTGTTTTATTTTGTTTGCTCAATCCAGTGTTCCAACTATTCATTAGGTAGATGAAGATGAAGGGAAGGGGTTTTAAAAGGAAGGTAAAAGAAGATATTATAATACAGTACAAAGCTTTTATACATAGACTCGATAACCACAATTTCATTCACCCATGCTCCAAAAGATGTTCCCTTGGTAGACCATGCTAGACCTTCGAGTATTATTCTATGGTATGCTTCCAACCCAACTGTATAACAGAATAGCATGGGGGACTTCCACTATTATGGTATGCTAGTCAAAATATATGGTTCACTATTATTCATGATTTCAGGTATTATGGGACTTGTGTATTACTAGATCTTTAACTCCTCTGCCAAAGAGTGCTGGTACCTCACCAAACTTCCACCTCCGGTGGTGCAATGGGTTAAACTCTTGTGCCAGGAGGACTGCTGACTGAAAGTTCAGTGGTTCAAATCCAGGGAGCAGGGTGACCTCCTGTCTGTCAACTCCAGCTTCCCACACAGGGACACGAGAGAAATCTCCCACAGGAAGGTAAAACATCTGGGCATCTCCTGGGCAAAGCCCCTGAGGACTACCAATTTTCTAACACCAGAAGCAACTTGCAGTTTCTCAAGTTGCTCCTGACACACACACACAACCTCAAACTACAATCCCAGGATTCCAGAGCATTGACCCATGGCAGAAAAGTGGTGTCAAACTGCATTGATACTGTAATGTAGATGCATCCACAAATGCATTATCGGAGAATCTTTCAGGCTGTCTCAGGAGAATCAAACAGCTTTTGTTTATTTATGCAAGCCTTACTTGATCTAGTGCTTCATTTCACGTGTACATAATGTTAATTTTGGGGAATGTTACTGAAACAACTTGAACTGCTATGTGTGCGTGTGTGTGTGTGTGTGTGTATGTGTGATGACATAACTTAGCGGTAGTCTTTCCACTTATTTGGCACTCAATTTTCTGTTAAAGAAGTAATGTCTGCGAATATATAGACTTTGTTAACTGGGGTCAATAATGGCTTGTGATCTGCTGTGAACTGAATGTTTCTGAGGAAAACATTTTAGCCACTCTGTCCTTTGTGAATGGGGGGGACTGGGGAAAAAACTCCCAGGGACCCAACCTGCTCTTAGCAACTCTGTATAATTTACTTCTTATCTTTTTCACCAAAACTCCCAGCCTTCAATTTATCAATTTGACTTTAGCTCATAACTTTCTTCCCACAGAATTAACTGACTGTGGCCTAACTGCAGTAGTTATTTAATCTGCTATTCAAAAGCAATCCATTTTAAAGTTACCTGTGCAGCTTTAGATTGTCTTAGACCAGAGGTTTCCAAACTGCAGTGTGTACAAGTGCCGCTTGAACATAATGAAAAACTTCTGAGTCTATGTGAAATAAGCAATAAATCCTACTTTTTAAAAAACATAAAAGAAAGGTTTTCATGAGATATGTTGTATTCCCACGCATTTCATTATTACAGTTTGTGTATATGTCCATATCTCTTAAAAGGGGTTGTTTAACTTCTAGTTTGCTAGTAATACTGAATGTGTGGTGAAATTATGCATGTCTAAAAAAGGTGTGTCATCAACATGAAATGTTTGGAAATCTCTGTCTTAGCCTGCTATTGTGGTAGGAAACACTATAAATGTTTAGATTTTTACCATAAATCTCCCAGTTTTTTAAAACTAAGAGATGGACTTCGGACTACTTAAAACTTATTGTTGGGAGGTATGTTGTTGATGTTGCAAAGACATTTTTGCAGTCTGTGTCCTCCTCAGGGCCCTCTAGAAAATTGGCCCATGAACCTGCTGATGTTGTTCATGTCTGAACAAATAAATCTCCACTCACAACTACAGCAACTTTCAGATTTGGCTGTTATTCCTCTGCTGAAAAACCACCAGACATGGCCTGTTCCACTATCAAACAACTGCCACCATTTAAAAATGTCTCTCAATCTTTAACCAAAATCAGTTTCTTTGTGATCTCCCTCCAGGAACCCCAAACTACCCTCTGGACCTCCTGAGACCAACTTGGCTCCATCTTTTATGTGACAGCCCTTCAAATTTCTGAGACAGCTATCCTACCCCCTTTTAAATATTCCCTTCACACTGAAGGAAATTTGAAAGGCCAGAAACCATTGTTCCACACCAAGGGACATCACAGGATGACATTTCAAAATCCCCAAAGGTGCATAATCAGTCATAGATTTTGAATAAAAGAAAAGTAACACACTGGCCTTCAGCATTTATTCCTGAGTGAGTCACAAGCTTACATTCAGAAAAGGATGTGACTCCAGATGAAAATCCACTTATTTTATCAGATTATGAACATAAATGAACAATTGAAGCCATCGAACCATCTGGATTTCTAGAAAACTAAAGATATTATTGATAAACACATTAACACAGCGATCCTACACACGTCTACTCAGAATCCTCCCAAATAAATGGGTATCGACCTACTAGTAAATCCCACTGAAATCAAAGGCACTTAACTCTCCTACTCAGGAAACACTACGGATTGTATTTAAACTTGTCATTGTTTTTGAAAATGGCCTCATTCCATCATTCATCTTTAGCTGAATTTGCAATCAAACTTTTGATCTATCTTGCTTAATTGGTCAGGCAGCCTTTCAGTTTTTATGATGGTGATAGTGATGGCTTGGTTTTGATCATCTAATTTCCGGGTTTGGTTTATTTCCTCCTGTTATCACATCCAACAAAGTCATTCCCCAAAAAAGATATCTTTTCTGCACAGCAGGTTCTCATTTCGGTAAGGGAAGGCCAATATAGATAAGCATATTTGTTAGAGCTGGAGCCTAGATTTTTTTAAAAGCAGCAGCAAATCTGGATCAAATTTCCTGATTAGTTCTTAGCAATCAGCTGATCTATTTGGATTTATCTTGCGTGCTAGCACCATAGGCTAGATTCCAATTGAGACCAAACTAAAAAGAGGAAGGGAGACACATCCAAAAGACATCTGAGCCACACATCTGGATACAATACCCCAATACTGTGTACCCACCCATGTTACATCCCTACATCCCATCCACCAGCTCCTTGCCAGCTGATGCTCTTGGCACTGAACTGAACCACACAGATACCTGCTGATGAACACAGTTAGCATTTAGGAAGCAGCAAGGTCCTCCTTCCTTCTGTTTCTAGGCAGCTAAATCTTAGAGAAGGAGGAGGGGGCAGTGGGGGAGCCCTAATTTCACTCCTGAAGGCATCCTTCCCTCCCATCTTGAAGGGCAAGAGGGAGACTGGCATCTCTCTCAGACACCCAGACAAACACACACACACACATCCAGCCCCTGGCATTACCTTGGCAGAGCAGTCTCTCCTAGTCTTTGGGAAGCTTTCAGGCAGGACCAAAAGGGCTGGTGGAAAGATGTGTCCCAGAAACAGGATGACTAAGAAGGAGGGAGATCCTGGCGTTGCTTCGGTTGCTGGGGAAAGGATGCTCAAAGGCGGCGGCTGATGCTTTGCTTTCCTGAGACTCGCTTCTTGCTGCAGACTGAAAACCGACTCTATGGGATGGAGGGAGAGATGCTGCTGCTGCTGCAAGAGCCAAGAGAAATGTGCTGCCTCACGCTGGCCTGGCTCCTCCTGCTTCCCTGCCCACTTCGGCCCTGGCACTGGCAGCTCTCGCCTCCCTCCCACAAACTCCAGACAAGACAGGCAACCCAAATATTGGCCCCATATTTCTCCAAATATTTCTGGGACCAAAAGTGATTTGGATTCCTACCCCCTCCCAGTTTTTCGAATCCTTCTGCATACATACTGAGAGTATATTAGAGGTGGTACCCAAGTCTGAACATGAAATTCATTTGTTTCATATCTACCCTAAGAGACCAAGTGTAGTCTAGCATCATGAATATTTTACTATGACTTCAACGGTCCAGATTCTACTGCCTGCTCCAGATTGTGGGATATTTCCAGGCACATCCTGAGATTATCTTGGAAGTGGCACCCAAGTCTGAATACTAATGCGTTTATGCTTCATGTACACCTTAGAACGATAGAATCATAATGTAGAAAGAGACCATCCAGTTCAATCCCCTGCAATGCAGAAACATACCTTCAAAGCACTCCTGACAGATAGCCATCCAGCCTCTGTTTAATAACATTCAGAGAGGACAATCCACCACACTCCAGGTAACATATTACACTACCAAACAGTTTTTATTATCAGGACTTTTTTCCTAATGTTTTGATGAAATCTCTTTTCCTACTCTTACTCTACTCTCTAGTCTTACTCTCTAGAGTAGCAGAAGACAAACTTGCCCCGTCCCCTCAATATGACATCCTTTCAAATTCTGAATCATGACTATCATGCCCCCTCTCTGAATTATGTCTCTGGAGACCAGGGTGCAGTTTGACTGCTCCGGATTGTGGAATATTTGCACACACATCCTGAGACTATCATGGAGGTATCACGCGGTCTGAACACAAAATGCATTTATCTTTCATACACAACTTAAAAGAGCAAGTGTGGAACAGTGGCTTGAGCACTAGATAACCACTCTAGAGACCAGGTTTCCATTTACTGCTTGACCATAAAAACCCACTAAGTGACCTTGAGTGAGTCACACTCTCTCAACCTATTAATCTCCAAGAGTACTGCAACACACTCTACGTGGGGTTGCCTCTGAAGACTGCTCGGAAGCTTCAGCTAGTCTAACGCTCAGCAGTCAGGCTGCTCACGGGAGCGGGGTACAGGGAGCGGACAACTCCCTTGCTACTCCAGTGCCACTGGCTGCCTATTAACCTATAAAGCCCTAAATGGTTCCGGCCCAGTTTACCTGTCCAAACGTATTTCCATCTACGAACCATCTAGAATCTTAAGATTATCCAGGCCCTGCTCTTGGACCTAACGCCATCGCAGTCGTGTTTGATGAGGATGAGAGACAGGGCCTTCTCCGTGGTGGCCCCTCAGCTGTGGAACTCCCTCCCTAATGAAGTTAGATCTGCCCCCTCCCTTCTGACCTTCCAGAAGAAACAAATAGGTTTGAGTGTTGACTGTGGAAACCAGGGTCTAAATGTTAACTCAGCTATGGAAACCCATTAAGTGACCTTGGGCAAATAACACTTTCTTAGCCTCAAAGGAAGACAAAGACAATGCACACACACACATGCACATATCCTTCCAAGAAAATCTTGTGGTAGCCTGTGTTTTATAGTGGTTTGAGCATTAACTCAGGCTCTGGAAACCAGGGTTCAATCTGCCATGGAAACCCATTGTGTGTTCCTGGGTAAGTCACACTCTTTCAGCTTCAAGGAAGACAAAGGCAACTTTCTCTTGCCAAGAAAATACTGCAGTGGCTAACATAGCATAGTGGCTTTAGAGTTAGATTGCAACTCTGGATACCAAGGCTCAATTGCCTGCTTGGCCATGGAAACCCACACACTCTCAGCTCCAGTGATAGATTTGATTTAGAGTTGCCATAGGCTGGAAACAATGTGAAGGCACGCAACAACAATATACTATACACACATAGCCTGATGGTCATTTTATACACCAATTCTTAATAACGTTTGTATATACTGAAGCATCAGAAAACGAAGTGTGCTCTGACTTGCTTCTGTAGACATCTGGTAGACATCCTGTTAGACGACCTGAAAATATTTGCACAAGTATTCATAAGTATTACTTCAACTTCTACATATTTTAGTTTCAGTCTCCCTTTGTGATATTAGATTTCCAGGAACCCAGTGACAGCTGGTGGCTCTCATATCAGTAGGATAATGAAATCATTCCCAGTTTTGTGTTGCTTTAAAAGAGCTATCCAAAGTGCCAAACAAATTTAGAAATAAGATTCAGCACCTTGAAAAGTTCATTTAAAGCTCTAGAAGTAAATCCTGGAGTTGATCCACTAACCCTCTAACATAGGATACACTGGTTGCCTTTGAACAGCAGGAGGAGGTGCCAATAGCTGACATGTATATATTCTTTCTCAAACTGATTTGGATTTTTCATCTTAGCTTCCTCTAAGTTTGAGCATTCTTGTTTTTCCAAGCAGAGGAAAATCAGTACAGCTCTGTGCTGAGTCCTTTTAATCCATCTCTGAGCTTTGTGTGCAATGCTCCATTGCTCCCCATCTTGTGAATTGTGATGGACTTGTCCCTTTGTAGATTACCCTAGAGCAGTGGTTCTCAACCCGTGGGTTCCCGGATGTTTTGGCCTTCAACTCCTGGCTGGGATTTCTGAGAGTTGTAGGTCAAAAAACTTGGGGACCAGCAGGTTGAGAACCACTGCCCTAGAGCAAGGACTGGGGGGACATCATGACTTGCAACTCTCAACAGTCCTAGATAGCATGGCAGATGGTGAGGAATGCTATCTGTTTGGGGCACTTGATTATTGCCCCTTCTTTTGATACTTCTGTGTTCATGTTGGGGATGATCATGGAGTAGTTTGTATTTTATTCACCAGCAACCCCAGCCTGTAAGCGACTCCCTTCTTCTTCACACAGAAAGAGAGAGAGTAACATCAAACTAAAGCTATTCTAAGCAGGCCCTAGAGTGATCTTTTTCAACCTAAAAGCTATTGGTTTTCCTGGGTTATTCTGAAGATCTTGTTAACATTAGTTAGCTAATAACTTGTTTTTTAAAACACACACACAAATTTCAGCAAGGAGGCATCCTCTCACTTCTGCAGCAGTCTAACGTATATTATGCAGCTGTGGACAAGTCTACATATGGACCACCAAACACAGCACCCAAACACAAATCAAGGAACATGAAAGGCACTGCAGATTACTTCAACCAGAGAAGTCAGCCATAGCAGAGCACCTGTTGAACCAATCTGGACACAGCATATTATTTGAGAACACAGAAATGCTGGACCACTCTAACAACTACTATGTCAGACTACACAGAGAAGCCATTGAAATCCACAAGCATGTGGACAATTTCAATAGAAAGGAGGAAACCATGAAAATGAACAAAATCTGGCTACCAGTATTAAAAACTCTAAAATTACAACAGCAAAACAACAGAGAGGAAACAATCTGAGACATCTAATCACCTCTCAACAAAAGATTGCCCCAGGCACTGCCAGGCCATCAAATGCTAATCAAGGTGGTCAGTTGAAACATTCACACCTAGCTCCAACAGACAAGAGTTCTTTGTCCCACCCTGGTCATTCCACAGATATATAAATCCATTTTCCTAGTTCCAACAGACCTCACTACCTCTGAGGATGCTTGCCATAGATGCAGGTGAAACGTCAGGAGAGAATGCCTCTAGAACATGGCCTACAACAACAACACACACACACACATTATTTCTGAATTCTTTCTCTGCTTGATTCTTAATCTTCCCATTGAATTGGAAAATGAAACTGATTCTTTTTCTAAACTAGTTTAAAAGTTGGCTTCGTTGACATGCTGGCTAGAGGAATAAATATATCAGCCAGGTGGGGATGTAAGAGCCATTCATAAGAATTCTACCTAACTGAATCCAATTTTCCTTCGGTCCCCAAATTTCTAGCATTTATGTAAATTAGAACTTCAGTTGAACATTTAGAAATAAAGTGCAGGCATCCAAAGAAAAAGAAAAAAAGAGGCAAGCAAAGATATCAAGGGAATGCAGAAACAGCAAATATAAGAGTTCCAGGTTTTTATATTGTTCCACTTTAACTGCCATGGCTCAATGCTATGGAAATTTAGGATTTGCAGTATGATGCGGCATCTGCACTAGACAGAGAACACTGCATATCTTGCAAAGCTACAACTTCTGCAAGGTTTGAAGTCATGGAACTGGAGGAAAATTGCATCTGGAGGTTAAAATTATTACTGGGGAAGAAATACCCTCACTTTGGCCCCACACCACACCAATTCTAACCTAGCTGGAAAGGTATTTTAAAGGAGGTTGTCTCAAAGTGTATAAGCATATATTCACAATACAAGGGTAACTTAAAATATAGTGGTGGTAGACTATCTCTGGAACATAAAGACAAGGCATGCATGGTAACTCTTCCTTATTCACATAGATGGAATTGTAGTCATACTGGTTTGTCACAGCTGAAAATACTGTACAGCTGAAAATACTGTACAGCTAAAAATACTGTACAGCTGAAAATATTGTTAATGTCCATACAGATATATGTAGATGTATGTGTGTATAGTAATTATATATATATATATATATATATATATATATCCCTTTTAAATACTTTCAAAACAGAATGCATGTCAAGGATGCCTCATTGCCCTCTGAAGTATCCTACCTACTTGTGAAATACTATTTGGTGGTTCCATTTGTGTGATATTATATATTCATTGCTTAAGGCACTTTTTTTTACACTTGTGCCAGCACGCTGCCTGTGCCATAGACATGAAATTTGCCTGCTTATTAGCAAGGCACCCATGAGGGTGAGATGAAAGTGCATAGCAAAGAGATGTGACAGCTTCATCTTGGAGAAACAGTGGAGATAACATAATTCTCCTGGCTGGAGGGATTTTATATTTTTGTCAGTGCTTTGAATTTCTCGTTAATTTATGTATAATTGTGTACACAGCCAGAGTGACTGGGAATTTGAATGCTACAATCGTAGAAATTTTCTGAGGATGCAGCTGTTTGTGAGGGAATTGTGGTTGTCCTTGTTGTTACTTGCTCTACAG